GAGAGAGGGAGAGAGGGAGAGAGGGAGAGAGGGAGAGAGGGAGAGCGGGAGAGAGGGAGAGCGGGAGAGGAAGAGAAGAAGAGGAAGAGAGGAAGAGAGGAAGAGAGAAAGCAAAGGGACTGAGTGGGGCAGAAAGGAGGGAGGGAAGGAAGGAAAGGACGGGAAAAAAGGAAATGGAGGGAGGAAGGGAGCGAGGGAGCGAGCGAGAGGAGGAGGATTCCAAGAAGGGGAGACCTCACCTGAATGATTCCAGTTTCCCCGCCTGCCACTAAGGCCTTGCCATCCTGCCGTAGGCTCCCAGAATAAGCCTGTTGAAAGCAATAAAGGCAAACCGATAACCCCAGAAGGTGTTTTTCAGCTCAAAAAAAAAAAAACACCACCTTCGATATTGTCACCTAGGCTACCAGCCGGGCCGCCCGGATCAACTTGTTCACCCAGGCGGCCCGGCCGTGCAAGGACCAGGGAAAGTCCCAGCCAAAAAAAAAAACACAAAAAAAAAAAAAAAAAAAAAAAAAAAAAAAAAAACGAAAAAGAACTATGCTATGCAGAAAAAGAAACTGAACAACTTTGCCTCGGGATCACATTGAAATTTGAAATTCTTTACCAAATTTAAAATAAAATTACAAAAATTAATTAAAAAACATTTTTTTATTCTTATTTTCTTCTTTTTTTTTGGGCGTGGTCCCGGGCCACTCTGGTAGCATAGATTATCACCATCACATCCACTGACCGAGGCAGCCTTCCAACACGGCCGCCCACGTACTGCATCCTTTGGGGCTTGGCGTACCAGATCGAAATGGCCCACAGGAGGGGAATTTATGTCGGGAAAAAGAGGCTCGGAGGTACTGGTGGTTTAGACGGCCGGTACACCTGAGCTTTTTTTTTTTTTTTTTTTTTTTTTTTTTTACGGATCAGATATTAAACTGACCAGAATTTTGCCGACATGCCAGAGCAGCACTTTTTCTTTCCATTTGGCTGGCACTGCCAGCCAGTTTGGTCCGTTAGCCCCGAGCGTCCAAAATTTTCGGACTGGCTCAATTTCGATTCTCAAGTTTGCCTGGGCGATCTACTGGTCGTTTAAAAAAGGATTTATTATTAGTCACGAAAGGTGGGTTGTTGTGTAAGCACCAAACAACTTCTCGAGTTCAGGTTCGCGCGTCCTTATTAGCCTGAACATCACACACTGAAGCCTGGCCCTCTTTATCGTTTGCACGTCAGAAAAGAAAAGAATAGAAAGAGAACCTCTCACAAAGCCCCTCTCACGTTCAACAGAAAGCCAATCAATTGAGCATCCCACATCCCTGTTCTCTCTCTGTGTCGTCTTTACTCTCTGACCTTATTCACTTCAAGGCATTTACATACTTGCCCAGCCAACCAACCAACCAACCAACCACAAGGTTGCCATAATCGACCACTTCTCCCCCCCCTAACAGGCCTTGAAGCCCTTGTCTAATTCAGCAACAGCTTCACAGTCGCGAGCGACCCGCTTGCACCAAGAACAACTCCCCATCTTTCCCCGGACACAATGCACTCCAATGCCAATGACAAATATATACAGCTAAGCCGTACTCAAATTTGTTAGTCACCACTATCTCCAACAAAGTACTGCTCTCTCTCTCTCTCTCTCTCTCTC